TAATTAATTAGATAGTTTATGGTATTTTTATTTAGATATTAAATATAAAGGTTAAGATTTTTATGATACTTACTTATCTATGATACTCGCTTATCAAGCACGTTACCCCTATTGAACTTTCTTTTATTGTTGCTATGGTATGAAACCTTAAATCTTGTTGCTGACTATACCTTCTGTGCTCTGGCTGATGACTAATATGACCTGCTGCATCCTGGTCTTTTTCAACTTTAATCGATTAATTGATTCCAACTTTGAATGGGTCGCAATGCCGCAAAAATGACTTTCGAAGGCTGGCAAGCCAGATATAAGCTTCCCTCGATGTAATGAATCGATTCATCCACTTGAAATGCATCTTGGCGACAAAAACCTATGGGTGACCTGAATCCGTTTGGGTTAAATGGATTCAGGTCATCATTTCATTAGCGTGTTTTTTTTTTACTATGGGCTTTCAAATGGATTCAGAGCTGAATCCGCCGCGCAGCTAGGATAGGATAGGATGTTTCTCCGCCAACACTCTCCAGTACACATGGGCCGTCTCGACCATGAGTCAAACACCCGAGAAGCGAGCTGCTGCTGGTGCCATTGTCAACATCTTTGGACACTTGGGCAATGTCATCTCGCCTTACTTCTTCCCTGACAAGGATCAACCTCGATACACTATGGCTATGATCCCTGCAGATTGTGTTTGCCGGTCTTGGTATTACCCTTGCGTCTACTATCAAGTGGTTCTTGACGAGGAAGAACAAGAAAATTAGGTCTGAGGCTGATCGTCTTGGTGTTGACTACAACCCTTTCACTACTTAATGGATTGGAATGATGGAATATGGTTTACGCAATGGCTCAATGAAGCTCTGGTCATACGAATAGTATAATGAATCAACGATAATCGAATGGCAATATTTGCCTACTAGTACAACCTCGTATGCCCTGTGAAGATTAAACCTGTTGCGACTGCATGTATATTTTGACATGCACTGGTTGAAGGAAGGAAAAATGAAGAGACCCTCCTCAGGATAGAAGGTCCAGCTCAACAATGAGTTTCATAGGACATTAGATAAAAATACAAAAAGAAACCAGATGTGTCAATCGACCACGCCAGGAGTCGAACCTGGAATCTCTAGAGAATTTGATTTTAGTGAACCGAAATCTAGCGCCTTAGCCATTAGGCCACGCGGCCTGATCTTATTGGATCAAAGTTTTGCTACCACTGAGTTCTATACAGCGCATCCGCTTTTGCCTTTTGAACTCACCCTAGACTCGGGACAATCAGTTGTCAATAGAGGCTCACATATCAACCTCGTTGAGACATTATTTAATAAGCTCCTCTGATACAATAGACTTGAACTCAGTTGACCATCCTTATCTGTCTGCAATGCAATATCCTAGTACCAGGAATAGTGATTTACGCGAAGACCGTGCAACGCATGTCACTTGTTGGTTGCACCCTTGCCGAACTCATTTCTTCCTCTTTTCTTTTCCACGGCCCATTATTACATTTCTGGACAAACCACGACAGCCACAAAACCGACCCCTACCACCAAGAAGCTCTCAACATGGCCGACTTTATTAAAGAAATGATTGAAAACACCTGGTCCTACGGTTCTAAGAAGTTAGGCACGAAAATACAGGATCGCAAATGGGGCTTTACAGTCTATCGGACCTATTACGGCGAGGAGTCCGATGGCGCTTGGCAAACCCTCCTGTACTCTCTCAGACACCAAACTAAATTGTCATTCGGCGCCTTCGAAAAAGGAGCGGCCATTGAATATGACGTAGACCCGGATGACTTACAACGACTGAAGGACTTCTTCTATCTCGAAGCCCGCGAGGATCGTTCCCAACTAGAAGGACTTGATGTTCGAGGTCTCCGGGAGTTCTGCAAGGCTGAGCGGTCCAGGGAGAAAATAATTATCGAGAAACCGCACAGAAGATTATTCGAGACTACAAGACCTAGAGAGACCCAAGGAATGGCCGATTGGGTGTTCGACTATGTTCTTCTTGCCGACGAAGCTGTCCTGAAGGATATTGCAAGAGATGAACCTATCGTCAAAGCCGTTTCAATACTGTGGGAGACAGGCGCGGACATAGAGTGGGGTTGGATGAGGATTCCTACGGGCTATTTGGTGGAATTATGGCATCACCTATTATTCAATGAAAGCCGTACTGATTGTGCCTTGAGCTTCTATGGAGACGAGGAAGAGCTTGACAATCTCATCTGGGCTGGGGACATGGGCGCCGAAATGACTTTCCTTTCCTCTGAGATTCGCGATATACCGCATCCCTACGATAATCAAAGTTTCAGATGTCTCTCGTGAGAGTCGCGGAAACATAATTTCGCTCTATATTTACCCCCAACTTCAGATAGTTGAGCTATCAGTAACTGAAACTAAGACTTCAATCCCAGTACAAGTATTAATGGAGACTTAATTTGTTCCTCCTGTTAATTGTCTATGCAATGTCTTAGTAGCAGGGATAGTAATTTACCCGAACCCCGTGCAGTCCATGCATGCAAAATATCTGTTGGTTACAACCCCCACATCTATCTTTCTTCTCTTTTTCAACACTCGACCACTTTTTACACCACCTCCATCACGACCCTCTCTATCATAGCACTCTAAATATGGCTGATCACATTGAAGAAATGATTAGTAATGTCTACAGGCCGGACTATGAGGCTAAGCAATGGCCTGGAGGGAGAAAGAACCCCGACAATTATCACCATCACCGCAAATGGGGTTATACAGTCTACCGGACATATTACGACAAGGAGTCTGATGAAGCTTGGGAAATGCTCTTGTACTCCTTAGAACATCAGACCAAATTGGCATTGGGCGGCTTTGGAGAAGAGGGTGTTGATCAAGACGACGTGCATGTTGATCGAGACGACGTGCAACTACTGAAGAACCTGTTCACTATCGAAGGTCGTGAGGACCCTAAGCAACTTGAAGGCCTCGATGCTCACGGTATTCGGGATTTCTGGAATGCTGAATCGCTCAAGGAACAGCAAGCTGTAGTACAGATACCAGGCAAAAGGCGCCGATTGACGACAAGACCCAATGAAACCCGTGGTATGGCAGATTGGGTCCATAGGTTCGTGCTACTCGCCGATGAGGCAACTTTGAAAGACGTAGCAAATGGCGAGTTTGTTGTCAAAGCTGTCTCATTACAGCTGCCAGGGGGGAACAGTTGGCCAGGAGCCTGGATGCGAATCCCGACAGGCTATCTATTGGACCTATGGTTTGTGCTTTGTGATTGGTCAAGCAGTACAGAAACTGCCCTGAGTTTCCGTGGCTCCGAGGAAGAGCTTTACTCTTGGGTCTGGCCTGGTGATGATAATCGCGAAGGCACTGGGGATTATTCTGAGATTCGACACTTCCCACATTACAACAACCAGACGCACTTTGAGGAATTGTGGCGGTAAGTACCAAGACATATTGACCGAGTTATCAAGAGGACTGTGGAATGGTTGAAGCAAAAGGCTTATTGAGAAACCACAACCAGCTCAATTGGCTTGATCTTCCCCTAATAGCACCTACCTTGGAACAAACCAGCGGACATGGCTAACATAACTTAGCAAACGACGAGCTGCACCTACTCAGCCGTGTGATCAAGAGGGGTCTTTTGCTAGACTCCCATTGCGGGCATCTTCAGATGTGTCACCGTCAAGTCCTACCAGCTCTGACGAGGGTGGGAATCTACGGCGCGCAATACGGTCCGAGCTCCGACGAAGGAGGGAACATGCCGCTACAGAGGCTGAAGCCGCAGACTAAGTTAGTACTCGGATAATTCGAGGAGGATGACCAAGACGGAGTTCATAAACTCAAGAAATCATTCCATCTCGACGCTTACCAAGATCCCACGGTTCTGGAAGGACTTGACGTCAGAGGGCTCCGAGAGTATTGCAACAACAAGGAGGTGGACAGAAGTACAGCTATGGCTGATTATCTCTTCATTTCGTTTTACTGGCTGATAAATCAGTGCTGGAAGACATAGAGAAAGGGTTATTTGTGGTTAAGGCTGTTTCACTCTTGTGGGATGAATATCCGGGGTGGGGGTGGGCAAGGTTGCTGACAGGCTATTTGATAGAGCTTTGGCAACAACTTTTGATTTATAGGTACAAATCAGAAAGTGCATTGCACTTTTTTGGACCTGAGGAAGACCTTAATGATTACATTTGGGCTTGGGATTTAGCTAATGAGGAGACGGGCCGGTGCTCTGAAATTTGTAACTTGCGTTGTCACTATGGTAGCAAGAACATATATGTCATGTTTTGAGTCCCCATTCTTCTTTAACTTACCAATTACGCCGGGTCGCACTGATAGCGCTCATTGCGCCCAAACTAAAACGCTAAAGACGCCAAATACGCCGGATGCCCAAACGAGCCACTTACAGACTGGACCCCATCGCACGAATACAGTAAACGCTATTGACGCAAGGATTCCATAGTACTGATGATAAATCGGAGAAATAAATATATATAGAGCCATATGACGATAACCATAACAGCTTCCATCAAGTCAGCTACCTCAATTATGTCTACTACCTTCAAACAGTATTGGCTCCCAGAGAAGAAAGGGTTCGACTCTTTACAGCTTCGAAATGTGCCAAAGGGTTCACCAAAGCTCGGCAGACTCAACAAAGGTATGCCGTCGCGTGCCTTTAGTCACTGTAAAGACCTGCATCATGGCCGCAGACCCGCCACCGGCTCCGAAGGAAGACCAGATGTTGTCGATCCTGTTCGGTTTGATGTATCTAGAATCCAGCTTCAGATCTGACTCGTCATCCCAGTGTACCTCGGGGAGCCCAATAACTGTGTCTATAATCGTCTGTGCGAAGGTGTTGTTGAAAGTGCAGTTCCAGGAGGCGGCACCTCCGCCAAAGTATATGCAACCGGCTGCAGGGAAGATTTCATAGAATCGTGGATGAAAAATAGAATACCAAGGTATTAGATATTCCTAAGATAACCTAAATATATGTACTGTTAGCTAATTATATACTCTTATTTTAGTTTACTAATAACTATAGAGTTCTAAGATAGTTAGAGTTATACATGGGTCTGTGATCTATCTAGCTCGTAAAGGGGAGGTATGTAAAGTTATATATCTAAAACTATTAATCCCTCCACTCCGACCTCGTTATTCCAGTGTCTTCCAGGCTGTTATCACGTATTCTGTCCAAATCTCTTATCTATAGTATTGTTTTTTGAAATATCGACCCCATGACCCTTCCATACTGTAAGCATTATGTCCAGTTGTATAGAAAACTCTAATAATCTTAGCACGCACTTGAGAGCATTTACCTATATAACCTGGAGCTTATAATACCTATCTATAAGCTAGAGAAGAGTATTATAACTATAAAATAAAACCGAATTTATATCCTACCTCTAGAATTCTATAAATCTTTTTTCTCTTCTTTTAATAGCTATTTTATTTGGATTTTCAATAGTATTTTAAACTGCTCTTTATTTGGTCAGGATCCAAGGGGGACTGTAAGGCGTGTACAAACTTTAGTCTTATTGTTGTATATTGACTAGTTTAGCTAGATAGAAGGGGGCGGTGCTACAGCCACAAACCTTAAAGTCTTGTAGTGCCTCATAAGGCATTTTTCGATTGATCGGAGTTAAATACCTACTTCTCCACTTCCCACCAATTTTTTTCATCACAATACACCTCTCGACAATGGACTCCGCTAGCGATAACACAGGGACTTTAACTTCTGGACCCAAAATCGAGCCCAGATTAGCAAGACTCTCGGATTACCCACTATGGCAGCCACAGATGTCGCTTTATATCAAGCTGTCAAAAAAGAATCGGCTCAGCGAATCTAGTTGTCGCAAAAAGTTATTGAATTCTATCCCAGATGCAAAACCGTTTGCGCATCTTAAGAAAACATCGGATATACTCAGTGCACTACACACGTCATACTGGAACTGCTTCTTCCTTGGCTTTCGTCCCAACGTGGCCAGCCGATCATGGTCTCTTAAGGATATTTGTCAATATTTGTGCTGCGAACACTGCAAATCTGTCAAAGCCTCGGTAGTCAGTCTCGTCGACCGCAAAGTACCATTTGAGATGTTGATTCGGGAGAAGAAAGACGTGCTACTGCTTGGACGTGGTACAAATCCCCTACTGCGTGTGTCTATAACCATACAGAAAAAAGATAAGAGAAATCATC